TTTTACCCACTGAGCAATTTCCCTAGACCAACTTCTTACTTTAGTTTCCTTTCTTGTCCCTGACCCTTGATATGATTCTCAGCACAGTTACATTATTGTCTTCTATTTGTAGTCCATTTTGGATTATACTTCTCCCTCTACCCACACAATATGTGTTGGTTTGCCTGCTTGTTATCTGATGACTGTGTGAAATGTTACCAAGGCTTTCAAGTTTGAACTACGTAAAAAAGCACATCAGTGAATTCCCTTCTCTCCATTCCCACTCTCCTTTATTTCCATGGCTTCCCTGCCTGATCTTTGTAGGTAATAGGTGATATAAAAAGAAAAGAAGAAGAAAAAAAACCAAAAAATCAATCATATCAGTTTTTAGTTTGCTCTTGTACTTTCTTTTGCATAGACCAAGTACAAATATGGGTGTGTTTTCTCAGGTATCCCTTTCTTACAGTGGAAAGTAGTGCAATGGGACAAATATCCTCCTGGTTTCTGGGTAGGCAGGGACTGGAAGCAGATTGACAATGTGAAAAAGCAGATATATTTCAGTGCTGTAATGGACCGAGTCTGCTTCTCCTACCCCATTTATGAGCAAGACAGAAATTCACTGGTCCATTATTTTGAGCTCTATCCTTGGCAGATGGGCAATAAGGATGAAGATCCTGCTAGGTAACAGGCAAGAGAATGACAGTCTAGAATGCTACCTGTCTTTAACTCACGGGTGAGCTCAGTGCCAGTGACGACTGTGATGGAGATGCCTGCTCCTGTAATCCATAGGATCCCGATACCAGAAAGAGTGAGAGAGCTCATCACATGCACCTCTTCTGTCTCCCAAACTAACAGCTGATTTGCGCCAGGGAGATGCTAATCTTAGTTTTATGAAGTGTTCCAGGAATCTCGAAACATTTTTAGCTTCTATCTCTTGTTTGGGCACACTTCCTTACTGGGGCATAAGTTAGCAGGAACATGAAGAAGCTGACAGTCTGGTCACTGACAGTTTAATATTGGCAAGCAAGGAAGCTGGTTTTGAGAATTCAGAAGCAGAGAGCATCAGGCTCAGTCTCGACAAGACATAAATATCAGATTCAAGCAGATACTTTCCTTTTCCAACTCCAGGAAACAAAATGTGGGCACAGTTGTATCACCTGGAGGGTGAGCCAAAGAAGACAGGACTACTTTGGACTTCATATATTGCAAGTTCCTTGCAGAATTCAATTACCTGAGCACTTGGCTTCCAACCTTGTGTCTTCCCTGAGAAAGAGGAATTTCCATCTAAAAGGCAACACTGTGATTTCCTGAGCTGCTACAGTGTGCCTAGGAGTGTGCTCTATTTATCCTAATGACCTTAAACAGCCGGTAGTACGTCCGCACTTATGAAAACGATAAGATTAGGAAGCACACCCTAGGGTTACTTGATTGGTCTAAAATGAATATTAACTTTGAGCATGGGTTTGCCTGCCCCGAAGTCACTCAAAGACAAAAGGTTCAGAGAAGCGTTACATCTGCAATCCTGCATAGAATGATGGAGATGGACATGATTTCACCTGCCCGTCATGGTTCTATGAGACTGAAGCTTCACATTCTGACTGTATGATTTTTCTGCTCACACAGACAGCCATGGAAGCCATGGAAGGGAGAGGGATGCCTTCGGGCACCCACATATCTTCACCATTAACTTCCAGGTCAAACTCAGCACATCAGTGAGCGCCTGCCTGCACTCCCCATCTTAAACCTGCCCTTCCTGCCATAAAACACATACCAATGCTTGCACAACTGCCCACCCCACAGGTCATAGGATGGCTTCTGCCAAACTGTACTTCCCCTGTGGGGATGCACAGAGGTGAGTGGGCCTGTCCAGACTGCAGTGTAAGATGGCACGTAGGCCTGCTGCGCCTCTTTGGAATCACAGTGTAGTGTTCCCACGGTAGCACATGAGTGGTGTCTCAGAGAGGCAGCCATCCAAACATCTAGGGGGCATAAAGTCCACTGTGCCAGGCTTGGGGAAGCTTACATCTATATTTGGAAGATGGCTGGCATGTAGCAGCAGCAAGACTCCCCGGTTGGCTATGACAGACATTTAAGATCCGAGTGAAATTAGAGCAGTCAGTTTGGCCATTAATATCATACGTAAGGTTTTACAATGACTGAAAAAGAGGAGCAGCTCTTAACCCATTCCCAACTCCCACTCCGCCAGTGTAAGATGATGAAGGGAACTCCTTCCTATCTGACTACAAGAGGATAGACCAGTTGGATCAGCTGGGTGTAGCCTCACCTTTGGGGAGATGGATGTCCTCACTGGACCTTTCTGCTCCTCTTCAAAATAAAGATGGCCAAGTTTGGATTGATACTCTTGCATTCTAAAAAACATCCTGTTTGCCCTGCCTTGTGTGTGAGAGGGGGGAAAGGGAGAGAGAGAGAGATTGACAGAGACAGAGACAGAAAGAGAACATATGGGTGTACGAGGAGGTTTTCAACTTGAGTTTGGGGACAGGATCTCTTAAAAAGCCCCAGAAAGCTGGGTGGTGGTGGTGCACGCCTTTAATCCCAGCACTCGGGAGGCAGAGGCAGGCGGATCTCTGTGAATTCGAGACCAGCCTGGTCTATAAGAGCTAGTTCCAGGACAGTCTCCAAAGCCACAGAGAAACCCAGCCTTGAAAATCCCCCCCCCCAAAAAAAAAGAAAGAAAAAGAAAGCCCCAGAAATCCTCCTGCCCCTGTCTCTCTGGAACTGAGATTATAAGCATGTATCACTATGCCTGTTTTTGTTGTTGTTGCTGTTGTTCTTTTTGATTTTTGGTGAGTGCAGGGAATTGAACTCAGATCCGCATGCTGGTGTGGCAAACGTTTACCTCAGGCTCTCCTCAGCTCTTTAAAGCAGGAAGGACAAGCATATGGGGAAGCATGAATCTTCAAATAAAACAGAAAGGAGTTGTTCACACTAAGAGAATGGTGGAACTGTGGTGAAGATGAAGAGAGGCAGAGGCAGGCTGTACATGGCTCTGGTAAGTGTGAGTGCCTACTTCCCTTTCTTGTGGGTGGAGATGGTGCAGGCGGCACTTCTGACCAGGACCAAGTCAGCCTCGTGATGTCCTAGACTCCCACTAAGCCTCAGTATCAATTGAGGTGTAACTCATGGCTCTCTCTTAATCATGCAATGAATGAACAGGGAACCAGCTTGTGTCTGGAAATACACAGAGCATATCAAGTTAGTACTCTGGAATTGGCCTTCTGCCTTTGCAGAGCCTGTAATGCACGATAGAGCCTGGCCAATGTGGGAGTCCTCACCAACTCCGAGAGATCAGATCTTCACCTGGAGCTGGGAACCAGGTAGCAGACGGTTGGGTGTGTGAGTATGTGGGCGTGTGTAAACAGTGCAGCATACAGAAACTGTCACACCCACACCCCACATACCATGATAGGGTGGAGGCATTTGTTACCCTTAATCCTAACCATCTCAGAAGTCAATCTTTGACATCAATGGGTCCCTAAGGACCCAGACCAGAGACGACCAGAGGACTGAAAGGCATCTTCCCAGCAGCAATCACTCACCTGCTCCTCCCTTCTGGGCATCTCCACGACCACTGGCTCAAAGTCATCACAAGATATACTACTGTAAGGAAAGGAGGGTCGTGTTTGGCCATGCCTGGTTATTTAGGCCACAAGGCTTACCCATTTCATTTAATACATATGTAACTTGTTGGCAAATTTGGAAGAATTGTTCTGAATTGTTAAGAATGAGTTATATTCTCTTGTTAAAGAAAAAAAAATAAACAGCATCACAATTTCTTCCAAATATTCATCCCGGTGTTTTGGAAGATCCTTTAGAATTCTGAAGGGCCTGAGGCTGAGTCTCTGATAGTGACAAGATACAAGGCCACTGGCTAAGGAGGCAGTGACGGCAGTATGGAGTGGCAATCTGACCAACATGACAACTGCATTTGGTGAGCTGTCTCATGTGTGTATTTCAAGTTCCAAGGTCAGCTTCAGCTGTGTTACTAAGTGGCAGCATGATCCCAGGCAGCACCTCCTTTCTCCGGCCCTGGAGGGAGCTTTTCTAAGATTTCCCTCCATTCCAACAGTCTGTGTATGCTGGGTTTCCATCTTTGGAACTGAGGGAATCTGAAACGTTCTTAAAAGAAAAAACTCAATTTTTTTTTTTAAGTTACATGAGTGTGTGTCTGCGTGTGATTATGTGCGAGTGAGTGCAGGAGCCCTTGGAGACAAGAAGAGGGTGTTGGATCCCCTGGAGCTGGAACTGGAGTTATCGGCAGTTGTAAGTAAGTGCTGGGAATTGAACTTTGGCCCTCTGAAAGAACCTTACATACTCTTAACCATGGAGGCACCTCTCCAGCTCCCAGGAAACCTGAAGACTTTTGAATAGTAGGGAAAAGTTCAGGAACAACTCTGTATTTATAAGCCACTGGGCTGAGCTTCCAGCTCAGTGTTGACCTGTTCTGCAACCAGCCATGGAGACAGAAAGCAGGAATAACAGGGACTCCAGAGTCACACGCCATGTCACAGTTTATTATTGTGGAGTTTCCCAGGTAGAAATGGAGGAGTTTGTGATGTGGTTCTTTGCTCAGCTTTCTCACAGCAGTGAGTGCCCCCTGCTATCAGTGAACTATGAGATCTAGAGACAGGGAATGTCCTACCCTTCAAGAAACCACAGGGAAAGGCAGTGGGTAAAGAGATACTTAACCAGTTCCTCCTGGCCTCAGGCCATTTCCAGAAGACCCTGAGAGAGAGAGGCATGGCAGATATGAGCCAGTCTCCATTTACTGTGGAGACTCATGCCATAGTTCATTTGACCATAGTCACATGCACAATGTCGTCCATCTTTTTACGTTCTCTACCTCTTTTGGTTCATTAGACTTTACTTCTCAGGTTTGGCCACTCTTCTCCACTCAGTTCTGGGACAGGCTGAACTTTACACTTGTAAAATCTCAACCAAGAACAGAGTTCTGAACAGTGACTCCTTGTGTTGTATAAATAGTGTCAGTGATATGTCTCTCTCTCTCTCTCTCTCGCTCTCTCTCTCTCTCTCTCTCTCTCTCTCTCCTTCTCCCTCCCTGTCCTGTGCGACTGACTCATTGTTAGAGTGATCTATGCAAGTGCTCAACAGCACAACTGCTCTGAGTACAGACATATGCCTGGCCTCAAGTCTCTTCCTTCTTCACCTCAGACAGAGAAGATGCCAGTCCTGAGCTGGAGGCTGCAAAGGCTCTAGGTAGAGCCAGTCTCTTCTGGTGCGTTGATGCTGGCTATGCCAGTGGCCTAGCTACTCCTTCAGCAGTCCCAGCTTCTTTAGAGCCTCCCTCCTGTGTCCATCGGGAATGCCCTTGGGGGTTATCTTGACACTGACACAGGCAGGTCGAGGAAGCTTGTCATGGCTCTGTCCCTTGAAGGACAGTTGCTGGGAGTGTTGGCCCTGCCCTAGGCCAACCAACTTGCCCCCCTGAATTTCTGTAAAGTCCTTTGCCATGCCCAATGAGGCAGGCCGGGGCCGGGAATTACGCAAGACGCTGGGTGAAACTTTGTCCAAGGTGGGACTCTTTCCTAGAGATGTGCTGGTTTGGCATTTGGTGTCTTCCTCAGCTGCCAAGAGATAGCTGCTCAATCCCACGCCTGAGCGCTCCAGGGTATTGGACTTGAAGTTTATCTGTCTCAGGCCAGGGATGCTACTTTCCTGCAGGGTCAGCAGTGGATCAGGCTTGGGCTGTGTCAGGGAACTGTTTGCCTTTGAGGTCTTAGGGACAGGAATGGGCATAGACTTGGCAGCTGCAACCTTCCCTGGAGGGGTTTCCTGGGCATGAATCCAACTCTTGCCTGAAGAGGTCACAGCCTTCACTGGGGAAGTTTTCCCTGCAGCAGAAGCAGCCTCTGGGGCCAGAGCTGGAGATGCTTGCTGAACCGTGGCCAGGGCCTGGGAAGGGCTCTGAGCCTGAGCCTCCTTGACTTTGAGGGTACTGGTATGTTTATTTACAAGAAGGCTGGGATCATCTTGGTCCTGGGGCAGCCCTAGTTTTTCCAGAGCCTCTCTGCGGGCTTTCTTTTGTTCCTGCAGGGAAGAAGGGACAGGCCCAGAGTCTGTAGCCTCAGTGTGATTTGACAGCCAGTTCTGGGGATGGCTGTGGAAACTGCTTCTGCTGCTTTTCAATACAATGTTAGGAGGCAGCCTACGGGCCTTTGAGGCTGTGAGGGGAGCCTGTTGGGTGTTTGGCTTGACCCCTGATGGTAGGAGAGCCTCTTCAGCTCTTGTGTTCTGAGATGACTGGGTAGGAGGCAGCTGTGGCTGCTGTGGACCTTCTGTCCAGCCTTTCTCGGTGGCTTTATGGGACATAGTTTCTGAAGGCTCTTTCTTCTGCAAGCTGACCAGACTATGGGCCTGTGGTGTGTATCTCTTCTCTCCTAGCTCTTTAAGTGGGCTCTCTTCCCTACTTTGCTTTGGCCTAATGTCCTGAAAAGCCTCTGGTGGGGGAATGAGAACTGTGTTCAGATCAAGGGTAGTCTCCTGGGATGGGGCCGGTGACTGGAAGGGCTTAGTGGTCTGGCTGGTCTGCGCTTTCTCAGGCTCTGCTAAGTACACTCCGGGTGTTTGAGAGCCGTGGCTGTTAGTCTGGGTGGCACTTTCCCTGAGGTTCTGGCTTCTGCCAAGGTGGAGGTTTCTGGGAAGGCTGTAGGAACCAGATCTGAGGCCCAGACTGGGTGATTCAGGAGGACCCGAAGACTGGGGCACTCTCTTTGGTGATGGCACTTGCTGAATGTCTGTCACCTCTGGGTTTCCTGTGGGGATTAGAAAGAACAGGGGGAAAGAGTCAACACACACAGAGAGAATTTTGCTACTGAGAACTGAGCCCATCCTCGCCCCCCCCCCCCCCCCCCCCCCAGCCATGAATGGGATTTGTTTGACTTTGCCTGCTTTTAACAAGGCAGCACCGTTTTCTGGAGATCATGTAGACTAGTAGATCAAAAATGACAGGTTCTTTTGATTGGGGACTGATTGGTTGGAAGACATCACTTCTGAGTTGCTTCAAAGCCTTAACTCAGGCTCTCCCTGACTTCTATTCATTCACCCAAGTCAGGGAGAGTCTTGGAGATGGTCTTTGTGCTAGCTTATGGATCCCAGGTAACTGAGCCCAGGGGAAGCTTCTGTTGTCAACTTGACATGCTTTGGCCTTCTCCTTTCACTTTCTGTGAGAGCTGGAAGATTCTGTGATTGTAGTGCCTTGTACCAGTGAGTGACATGGTTATCTTGCCTAGTGATCTTGCCAGGTATGTTAGGTCCACTAGGCTCAGTGAATTAGCCTCAGGGTACATGAAGTTTCCGTTTCTACTCTTAACTAAATGGAGGGTCCAAGGCTATGGTAAATATTTGTAAGTATTTACTGAATGAATAAACTGATAGTAACTGATAGTAACAATGTTGTCTGTTTACCCTGGGACACATCCCCTAACACCTGTATGCCATTCCGTCCTTTTCGACTGAATTGGAACTCTACTACTGTCTCTTAACAGGGGCCTCAAGGTACCACCTGCTGCTTCAATACACGCCTCTCTTATCTTCCACAGTCTTGTTCTCTGTGTCCCTCAGATTAGCTCCCTATGCTGAATCATTCTCTGCTGGGCCAATTACTTAGGCCTCCCTGACTCCTCCCTACATGCCAGTATCACATCTCTTCTTGGGTTCTTCCCTGACAGGAAGGGAGCTAGACAAACCCCTTCCCCTCCTAGGCCTCTGTTACTTCATAGAAAGTCACCAGAAGCTGACTTCTCAGAAGTCCCTCTCCCCTCTGCAGAGGAGGTTTTAGTCTGGCTAGGAGTTTGCAGGCCTCTTTCTGCCTAGGAGCTTGCAGCAGAGGGCAAACAAGGTGGGAAGCGTTCAGAAGGAGACATTTCTGAGTTCTGCCTCCCTAGACAGTCTCTTACCCTGGGGAGCCTGCTGGGTGATGGGCAGTGCTCGGAAGCTTCGAGGACTGGTGGCTGGCTCTGACTCATCCGTGGACAGTCCACTGTCAGCCTCGGCCTCCAGTGAGCCAATGGTCTTCTCCAGGAAGAGCAGACACTCCTTCTCTTCAGCAGACAGGAAGTCGTAGCTGCTGTCACTCTGCAGGGAGAAGGAATTGTGAGGTGTGGGGCCCGAGACTCAGCCTGCTACAGGGAAAGAATACTACAAAGCTGGCAAACTTGCCCTGGTTCTGCTCTGCCAACCAGTGAAGCTGCTTTCTGCAACAGTAGGCCCAAGGAGGATTGGCAGGCTAAAGCCCGCCAGGACCCAGTTCTGAAGGCTAGGTAGGCAGGTGGCAAGGGGACTTCCTATTGCTTAGTCCTCAGCAGGAAGAAGTGGCCCAGACCGGAAGCAGCCCAGGTTTTCATTCCAGTTCCACGTGATCTTACACAATATCTCTACCAGTTTGTCTGCCATCTAATTGTGAATTGTATGGGCAACAACATGTATGGGCTAAAACTCAGCTGTATCTCCTTTAACGTTGCAAAGAACTTTTGCCACCTCTCAGCAGCCACCTGGCAGGCCAGTGCCACCAGCAGCTAGGTAAAAACCACAAGCAACTATGGGGATATGTGACACTTGGTCTGAGCTTCCACTCCTCTTCTGGTTACTGTCTAGACTCACCAAGATTGCTGGGGAAGGTTGCCAGATAGTCCTAGAAATAACTTGGAGAGTGGCAAAGAGGCTGTTAAATACCCCGGCCCCAGCCCCAGTCTTGCCTGCCCTTAAAGTCACCTGTCAGTTGACTGGGCCTGCATAACAAGGGAGAGTCCCCCACACAGCTCTTGGAGTTACTTGAATAAAGGTCTTCATCACTGCCTTCTGGATTTTTCCTTTATAGATTATCCGATGGAATGTGACTATTCATGCTGGTTTCTACCAGTCAGAAATAGGATGCCATCTTTGTGTTCCCAGCCTCTCATGTCAAAAGGAAAATTTGCATATACTTGAAGCACTTTGCCTTTTCTGCTCTACCTTTTTTATAATGAAACTTATTAACTAGCCATCCAGGTAGGTGGGCTCACTACTGAGTTCCAGCATGACTCTGTCTCCAAATCAACCGACCAACCAACCAACCAACCCACTAAATAGAGTAAATACTAACATTTGTTAGAAACGTTTTATAATCCTTTTTTTTTCTTTGATCCCCCCCTTTTGTTTTTTTTTTAAAACAGGGGTTTTCTGTGTAATCCCTGGCTGTCCTGGAAATCACTCTTTAGACCAGGCTGGACTCAAACTCAGAGATCCATCTACCTCTGCCTCATGAGTGCTGGGATTAAAGGTGTGCACTGCTGCTACCCAGCTTCTTCTTTCCTTTTCTTTGAGATGGTCTCATGTAGCCTATGCTAGTCCTAAATTTGCTGAGGATAGCCTGGAATTCTTGATTCACCTCTCTCCACCTCGTATTCACTGTGTTTTTTTGTGGTTTTTGGGGATCTAACCCAGGTCTTAGTGCTTGCAGGGCAAACACTTCCCCTGAGCTGTGTCTCCAGCCACAGTCTAAATTCTCACAAACTTTTTAGGACAATAAAGTTCAAACCCTTTGTTACAATGATAAACAGCAAAGGAATTCTTACATTTGAATGGAAGGCATATTTACTCCTTCACCCTAACCTTATAACACTTAGAATTTAAAATCATGTCCAGAAAAAAAAACAGCTTATTACATGCCCTCACAAACAGCTAAGCATTGTGATTGTGGATGGTTCTATCTCTGTCCATAGAGGGCCATTTATTTTCTGAATAGAGGTAAATGGTAAGTGCTTTATTTATCTTATTATGTTAAATGTTTATTTCTTTTGCATGTGTGTGTTTGTGGGCATGTGTGTTCTACTGAGTGTATAGAGGTCAGTAGGAAACATGCAAGAGTCAGTTTCTTCTTTGTGCCCTGTGAATTCTGACACTAGAAACTCTACCTCTATCTTCTGAGCCATTTCATAAACCTTTTTTGTTTAGACAAAGCTTTACAATATAGCACAAGCTGGTGGAGAACATGAACTCTCTATCTTAGCTTTCCAGGTGTTGAGACTTGGTGTGTGTCAATATACTCTGAAAGAATAGCTTTTATTTTCTCTTATTTTATGAGGCAGTGGGGATAGAACCCAGGGCTTGTCCACACTAGGTAATCAGTTTACTGCTGGGCAGCACCCTAGCCCTAGCTTTCTAAATGCTATTTAATGCTGCTTAGCTGTCCTCTAACCCCAGACACTCCCTTTGGGGAAGCTTATGAGAAATGACTGACAAACTTAGACTGCTTAGGGAGTTCAGAAAGCTCCAATATTCACATGGTTTCGTAGGCAGTAGACATTTGCAGACAGAGATGCAGGCAGAGATGGAGAGAGAGATATTGAGAGATTGAGAGAGGGGAAGGGAGACTATCTGTAAGTTAGTTGGTTACAGGGAGCTACGGGGATGTAGGTTTTAAGCTGTCACCCATGCTCAGTGTCACCCATGCTCCTGTAAGTAAGTCTCCATATTAGGAACAATCTCTGGTCTGCCTGTGTTCTGTCAAGCCTCCCCAGGAAAAGTCATGCAACAAGCACAACTTATTACTCCCTCCAAGAGCCATTATGATTAGGTGTTGACATTTTCCCCATTTTAAAACTGAGACTAGCTCAGCATGGTGGTGCACACCTTCAATTCCAGAACTTGGGAGTCAGAGGCAGGTGGTTCTCTGTTCAAGGCCAGCCTGGTTGAAATAGCGAATGCCAGCCTAGCCAGGGTAACACAGTGAGACCACAAGCCAGGGTCTCAACCACAAACAAACAAACAACCCCAAACCGAGGAGACTGAAGCATAGAGAAATCGGTGATATGCCCAAGGTAGTCTGGCTTCTGAGGAGGGAATCTGGATTCGTTCAGCTCCATAAGGCTCCCAACTACTCCATTTCCTTCGCTTTTTGTGGAAAATGGAAGCCGTGCTATCCTCATTGCAGAGGATTCTAAGAGTTCATGTTCGATAGAAATCTACCTTCCAGTTTCCACCACGACCTAAGCGCCTGCTCCTTTCCCCACCTAAGCCCTTTAATCTAATGAAAACGTGGGTGGTTGGGTATTGATCCTATTGCTCTCTGAGGTTGTCCCACCCAATTCTCTATAGAACCAGAGCTGACTCAGAAGCAGCAAGAATCCAGTGATTCAGTCCCTGGTGAAGAAGATGAAAGAGAAGGTGCAGAGAATGACGGTGGGCGGCACAGCAGGGCAGGGCGAGGTGGGGTGGGGCAGGTATGCAGAGCAGGCCAGGCTGCAAGAGGGAGAGAGTACATACAGATCCAGAGTGGGTGGAGGTGGTGCTCATCATGCTGTCACAGCTGCCGATGTGGGTCACAGGTTCTGAGCAAGGCCCTGCTGGCCAAAGCTCCCTCTTGGGCATCGCCTGAAGCAAGGCGCAGGGGTGGTGAAAGGGGCTCCCAGAGGGGAAGTGAATGGAAGTGAAGAATGTCCCAAGCTGGGCCTGAAAAGAGAACAATCAAAGCCACGTGTGAGCAGAGGCTTCTACAAAGCACTGCTCAGGCCCTGGGGTTTCATGGCAGCAAGATACCAAGCAAGCACAGAGTTGGAAGGGAGCCATGGACCGGTCATGTCTGAACTCCACCCTCAGTCTGCATGGAGGGACACATAAGCTAGCTCAAATGCATTCAGGAAGATGGATTCAGGGAGCAGAGATGCAGGCTAGTCAGAAAAGAGGTTCTGGTCTTCCTCTTAGCTGCTTTTTATTTTTTCTTTTATGAAGCAAGGAGTTTGAATTGTAATTTCATTATAAAAACCAATACCTATTACAAGGTTGAGGGCTTGGGTTCTGGGCTCAAAACCCAGTTGAACCACTTAGTGATTTGCATTTAGATGAATTACTTGTTAAATATGATTAATGCAAGGATTAAATGAGAGGCTAGTTAGGACACACAGCTCTGTTGGTAGCAGATACTATTGTTCTTATAAAAATCCACCTCAGATCAAATTAAACCCAAGCACTGGGAACAAGAGTTTTGGAGAGAAGGGTTCTGTCTAAATGGGGTATTACAGGCTTGAGAGAAGGAACAGGGCCCTTAATAATGTACTTCTTAGTCATTATGAGAATAGAAAAATGGAATAGCCTATGTAGTACAGTATATGCCCAATAATGTCAGTTGCAATCACTGTTAATAATATCATAAATATGACACTGCCACCAAGAAGGCTGACTTGTCATCTTTCTGCCCTCGGCCATCTGAACAGGGCACCTGCAATGGTTGAGAGCAGTCCCATTTCCCTCACGTTAACACTTGCATTCTGCCATTTATGCATTCGCAGTGAAGTTCCCTGGACTACGTCAAATGAAGGAGAAAAAATGTCCAGTGTAGATCCTCTCTAAACCCAGCTTCTATGGGGAGAAATAGTCCAAGTTCATTGTGGCGACAGCAATAGCAAAAACCAAACACAAACAAAAAGCCACCTCGTCGCTGCCACTAAACTTCCTAAGGGTTTCTTTCTTTCACATCTGTTTGTGGGAAATAGCCCACCAGACCAGGGCAGGGCAAGAGTAACTCTTTTTATGGAAAATGAAAATCTGAAAGATTTTCAAACAGAAAGTTAAGGGAGAGCTAGAATTACAATAAATTTTATATGACTCAGATTCATATTTTGCTTGTAACACTATACTATGTTTTAATCATTTCTGCTACTCTCCTAATAGAAGGTAAATTGTCCTGGGACAGAATGTTTTATTGGAGATCTGGGGACTTGGGGCTTAGGTGCCAGGGTACATATTCCTCTGCCAATAGTTGCTGCAGTGCCAATGTCAGCTTTGGGTTCAGTTAGGTCTTCCAACCTGGTCATGCTGGCAAGAGTCAGGCAAGGCCTCACAAGGCTACTCCTTTGCTTAGGAGAGACCCATAAATGGGGCAAGATGCTTGGGAGAGAAAAAGACAGGATCCCGAGTCAGACACATAGGATTCACAGCCTCTTAGGAGATGAGTGGGGCCCAAAAGAGAAGGGACAACAAAGAAGCCCCATGCTAATCAATGGTGGGTGGGGTAGCTCTGGGATTTCTCCACCAGGTCAGTTCCTCAACATCCCAAACTCAAAGAAACAGACACTCAAGAACCCTTGTAGACTGAGTTTAGCCATCCTAGCTTTGCATTTCTTTAGTGATTATCCAGGTACAGAGTCAATTCCTAACATTCTGCAGAGGCACTCAAAACTGCTATGTGCAGAAACATGTCTGCACATAGTGCTAAGTGTAGGCAACAGTTGGGTGCTCAGTCCTAAACAAGGCATTCATACTGTCCCCACCAAGGCTCTGGGAATATTGTGGAAGAGTGGGTAGAAAGACTGAAAGAGTCAGAAATGCAGCACACAGGCGTGTGAGTGTGTGAGTGTGTGTGTGTGTGTGTGTGTGTGTGTGTGTGATGTCACCATCTAGGCATAGCATATCCATGTAATCATGACCTCTCAACAACTTCTGAAGACTGCCCTGGGTCTGCACAAGAATGGGCCCACCAACAACCAAGCAAGGATGGAGGAGGGACTCAGGGCGCCCTACCCCTCACTGCTGAACTATTTCCTAGGGATAGATTCAGGGAAAGGAGAGAGTGAATTCCATGTATACCCTGGTGATCCCACCACTGGTCACAAAGATGGCCCTAGATAAACTAAATGGGCCACACAGCAAAGTTCCAAGTCATGAATCTGGGAGAGAGGGAAAGGGACAGGTATGGAGGAAGAAAGGGTGATGGGGCAGGAGGACAGGGAGGAAGGATGTGGGAGACAGCCACCGGAATAAATTATACACATGTATGAAACTGTCAAAGAGCTAACTCAATTAAAAAAAGCAATGCTGTCTGAATAAGTCTATTGGGTGAGTTACGTGGATGGAGGCTCTTCTTGGCCCACCACTGTAAGCTTTTCCATAGTATTTTATTTCTCATAGAGCAAGTGGCTCAGGAGACTTTGCAGAATGTTTGTTTAGATTAGCATTTGTGAGCACCCAATAGGCACTGTAAAAGACAAAAAAAAAAAAAAAAAAAAAAAAAAAAAAAAAAAAAAACAAAGAAAACCCAAAACAAAAACAAAAAAACACCCCCAAAACAAAAAAACAACAATATTTTCAAGGAGTCGGTGTGGATTCATGGGCAATTTTTGGCTCCAGTTTTCCAAGTTTAACGAGTATTAAATATCTAAGATGACTCAATACAATTAATGTAATATTTTCTCCAAATGGGTGAGGTGGTGCCTATTACTTTCAGAGAAAATTACTACCTTTCTTCCCTCCTATGTTCCTCAGGCTGTGCTGTGGGTATCTGGCTTCTGGTTCCTCCCAGGGAGGAATGCCCACTGCACTCTCTCTCATTCCTACACCAGAAGCAACCTTACAGCTACAGTGGGCATAGCTCTGCCTCACACCATCTACATGCTGGCCCCTCAAAGTGCTCTCAGACATGCTCATAGGATCTTCAGGGGAATCTGGCAATGTTTTCTTCCTTTCACAGCTGAGAAAGCTAGGGGTCTTCCCAAATTCCTAAATAAAGTAGGAATGACTCTAAGGGTCATTAGCCATTCTGCCACCAAAAGTCCAAAGATCCCCTTCCCTTTAAGCCTGTGCATTATCTGGTTAAGCTTTGTATTTCTAGGTCACTTGGTTATCCTGACAACAGCAGGATAAAGTAAACAGCAAAGAAACAGTACTAAATGCAGTGGCAGGTGATGCTGTCGGTGCCACTTAATCTCAGAATGAGCAAGTGCCCAGCTCCTGGAGCCCTGTCTCCACACCCAGTCTTCTGACTCAGACCGAGCAGAAAATGTTCCTTCTTAGGTGGCACATGCCTTTCATCCCAGCCCTTGGGAGGCAGAGGCAGGCGGATCTCTGTGAGTTTCAGGATAGCCAGAGCTGTTACACAGAGAAACCCTGTCTCGGAAAAAAAAAAAAAAAAAAAAAAAAGTACATTCTCCTACTACTCTCCATTCCTGGCCTGGCCTAACCTAGATGTGCTGTTTCCTTCTACTGAATTTATATAACCTTGAAACTTGTGGGCTGTATCAGGGTAGCAATCGAAACTCTAGGCATTTCTGCCTGATAAGAAACCTGGGAAACAAGCAAAGCAGTCAAGGTGAGAGTTTGGTATCTTTTCACCCTTGACCTCTTTTGGAGACTCAAGGGTAAAGGGAACAAGCTAAGAAATGTGCACAGCCTATAGTCAGGGCCACCTATCCAAAGACACATTAAATATTAACTACTTCTCTGATACTAGCTAAGCCTTGCAAGAGAGTAAATAAATGGCACCCGGAGCCCTGGCATCTGAAGCAGTGGGTGTGGAGAGGGCTGGAGTGCCATTCTAGGCCATCTGAATCAGATCTTCTGAACAGATTCAGGCCTCCTCAACATCCTGTCCCATGAGCATGCCCTCCTATCTCCTAAGAACTCAGCCCAGAGTCACAGAGGAAGGCTGTCCATCAGTAAGGGGCTCTGTTTTCCGCTGACTCAGCCTGAGCCTTGACTGGAGAATAACCGGAAAACAGAATAAAAACACCACAAAGACTGAAATTGGTACCATTTGGACAATGTTAGTCTCTCTTTTACCAGAGCTTTGTGGGAGGGGCTTGGTAGAATACCATAGGTACAGAAGAGCCCTGTTAGACATTGCAGGTGACCCCTGGGACTCTTTCTGCTGATGTCTGCCTCCTATGATAGTCTTCAGGCAGTGAGTTAAACGGGCTGACTCATTGGGGTAGGGGGAGTTAACATTGGAAGCTCCAGCCTTTAGGACGGGAAACTTAATATATTCATCCAGGGCAGTGGTTCTCAACCTATGTCTCACAACCCCTTTGGCAAACCTCTGTCTCAAAGAAAAAAAAATAGTTATGTTACGACTCATAACAGTAGCACAATTACAGTTATGAAGTAGCAATGAAAATAATTTTATGGTTTGGAGGGTCACCAAGACATGAGGAACTATATTAGAGGGTCGCAGCACTAGGTTGAGACCCACTGCTCTAGGGCTATGTCCTCATGTCTTTTCACGTCCTCTATTCTCTGCCGAAGGCCAGAGGTCAAGTTAGCAGCTGCATGTGGCCACCCATGATGACGAGAGAGAGCTGATTTTCTGGCTGGACTGCTACACCCCGCTTCCTTAGGCAGGTGTACCTGCTGCTCTATTTTGTCAGCTGGGACACTTGAAGGAGCTCGAAGCAAAACCTCCACCCGACTCTGGTTCTCCTGTCTAAGGACTTTGTTGCCGCATCATCTTGGCCTGAGTGCCACTTGGCAGTCTGGTAAGGCTCGGTATGCTGAGATGAAATGAAATGTGGCTGAGGCACAGCATGGCCAAGTAACTTTCTGTTTCCCGGGGTCTACATCTAGTAACAGACAAACTCAGAGATTTAACTAGTAGACCCTAAGTGAACTTGATCGGAGCTAGATTATCTGTGGGTTTTTCCAAAGATGAAATGCTAGCCTGAGCTGGAGTTTTCTCACCATTTCCAAACCTCAATTCCCACTGCAAACAAGCTAGCTCAGTTCAGACTTTACATATCTGCACAGAGGGCACCATTATCTACTAACACATGCTGCACCCTTTACTTAAATAAAGATAGACACGGGGCCATGGGAGAAGTTCCTTTTACAAACCTAATAGAGAACTAAGGTATCTGGTTCACTGCAGGGCCTTCCCCACCATTTTGACTCCGGCTGCTCCAATTATCCACTTACTCTCTTTCAAAATCACCACTTGGTCTTAGTTGCTCAGAGATGGAAATTTACAAATTCTAAACAAAGTTTTTTTTTTTTTTTTTTTTTTTCCTTCCTTTGACACAGGTCTTGCCAGGTGTGATAGGCTGGCC